AAAAAGGGCTGCGCCGGGCTCATACGTGTTTTGGTTCTTCGCACGTCTCGACCCGGTTGCTGCTGCAGGCGATTATCTGGTCTCCTATTCTCGGGCTGGACGAGAAGGTCGGATAGGGAAAGCGGGGCTACGACATCTACTGCATGCAGCTGGTTTCCGCTCCGCCGCCAGGCCCATTCCTCGATACATGGGCGCCTCCTAGCGCCAGGAGGCGCCAGGAAAACCAGCTGCGTGAGTTGATTATCTACCCTACGCTTTGGCTATCCTACCCTTTCGTCCTCCCCGATGCTCCTCCCCCCACCCTCTTCCTCTTCCTCCCCCACTGCCCTCCGCGTTTCTCTCCCCTACTTCCCCCCCTGCTTGGCAATTCCTTCTCCTCTCCCCCCTCCGCCTCGGCATTCTGCAGAACGAACATGGCCCTCCATGAGCGCGAGCGCGACAACACAAGCAAGCCACGCCGGCGATATCACCTGGACCCTCACAGACGAGGACCCTTCCTCCGCCTCCTCCTCCGCGCCCCCCTCGTCACCTCCTCCCCTCCCCCTCGTCAACTCCTCCCCTCCCCCTCGTCATCTTCTTCCCTCGTCCCCGCCCCTCGTCATCTCCTCCCCTGCCCCTCGTCAACTCCTCCCTCCCCTCCCCCTCGTCATCTTCTCCCCTCGTCCCCTCCCCCTCGTCACCTCCTCCCCTCCCCCTCGTCAACTCCTCCCCTCCCCCTAGTCATCTTCTCCCCTCGCCCCCGCCCCTCGTCACCTCCTCCCCTCCCCCTCGTCAGCTCTTCCCCTCCCCCTCGCCGTGCTCGAAGCGGCACCGCTGCACACCCACGCAAGCTTCCGGAGCTCCACGCGGGCTTCCCCGAGCAGCGCCGGCGCCCCCTCCGTGACCGGCGGCGCCGCCCCTGGGCGGCGCCAGCGGCGCCGCCCGAGGGGCCGAGCGGCGATGCGGGGAGTCCGCGCGAAGCTTCGAGGGTTGGTACTCCAGATTTCGTAATAAAGGGAGGGGGGGTTCATTTCGGGGGGGGGGTCTCTTCCAGGCTATCTTGAAGGGCCTGGGGGGTCTGGGGACGATGTTTTGGAGGGTTCTCCCACGGGGGAGGTCTGAAATGGCTTGTCTTGGAGGGTCCAGACCCCCTCCCTTTTATTACGAAATCTGGAGTACAGTGGGGGCGCGCATCAAGAAACCACATGCGTTTCGTCAGGGTATCCTGGATTTCTTCGCTCCGCGCGCCGCGCGGTGGCTTCCCGCAGCCAAGGAAGGAGCGTCTGCGTTCCGGGTGCTCCAGGTTTCTTCTCATGTTGCACCTCGCGCGCGGGTTTTCAGGGTTGGGTTTCTTGCGAGGGTTTCTTGCGGCCGCGCCCGTACTGTACTTACCCATCGGTCGTTGAAAGTAGGTATTTTTGGAGTCCCAGGTTCCAATCTACTTTGAGCCCCTTGCCACTTCAGTGATAGAGTGGCTTCACCTATCCCGTCCTCTCTAGGGGGCGGGCGGACGCCCAATCTTCTTTCAACGTCTTCCTGCTTCATGGTTCTACCTACTTCTCCCGACCGATGGGTGTGATTACAGTCGGACCGAGGTATCAGATCGAGGTCTGTTCGGGAAGGGTACCCTAGTGTTCGCCTTGTTTGTCTGATGTGCTTGTGCATCCTGGGGGGGGGTGTTACCCTTGGATGCTCTGTATGTTTTGGCTGGCGGAGGGGCTGCTGTTCTTGAGTTCTGTTCTTCTGGCCTGGGTCCGACTGTATGCGGCTCTCTCTCCCTCCGCGCTTGCTCCCTCCGCTCCTCCAGCGCTCCTGTCGGTCTGGCGTCGCGGGCCCGGTCGAGGCCGAGCGCAGCGGACCTAGCGCGCCGCAGGGGCCCCCCGCGCCTGCGCGCAAGAGGGGGCACGAGGCCCGCTCCGTCACCGATCTCGTCGCCGTTGCCCCTGCCGCCGTCGCCGTCGCTGTCCTCGTAGTCCGCGGGAGGAGGGCGATGAGGAAGAGGGAGATTGGGTGGATGAGGAGGAGGACGAGAAGGAGGGGGATGGCGGAGGGGTGCAGATGAGATGGTGGTACTGATGATGATGATAATGATGATGATGCTGATGATGACGATGATGATGATGATGATGATGATTCTTATGATGATGCTGATGATGCTGCTGATGCTGATGCTGATGATGATACTCATGATGCTGATGGTGATGATGCTGATGATGATGATGATGATGATGATGATGATGATGATGATACTGTGATGCTGATGATGGTGGTGGCGATGCTGATGATGCTGAAGATGCTGATGCTTTTGCTGATGATGATGGTGGTGGCGATGCTGATGCTGGTGATACTGATGAGGACGATGATAATGAGGATGATCATGAGGACGATTCTGGTGCTGGTGATGATGGTGATGATGATCATGATGATGATGTGTATGATTATGGGATAAAGATCATTTTGACGATGATAATGGTGGTGATGATGATGAAGATGCTGAATGCTGATGATTTTGCTGATGATCCTGATGGTGGTGGCGATGGTGATGATGGTGCTCATGAGGACGATGATACTTGTGAGGATGATGATGACGAGGACGATGATGATGCTGATGATGATGAAGACGATGCTGATGATGCTGATGATGCTGATGCTGATGATGCTGATGATCATGCTGATGATACACTGCTGATGATGAGGCTGCTGATGCTGATGCTGATGCTGCTGATGATGGTGATGCTGCTGATGATGGTGATGCTGATGACGATGCTGCTGTTGCTGATGATGATGCTGATGATTGATGGTGGTGATGATGATGATGCTGTTGATGCTGATGCTGATGCTGATGCTGCTGATGATGACGATGAATCATGATCATGATGATGCTGATGATGATGGTGTTGATGATGATGGTGGTGATGATGATGATGATGATATCGACGATGCTTTTTTTCTCATGGGGGTGGCAGTGATGATGATCATGCTGCTGCTGCTGATGGTACTGATGATGACGATGCTCATGGTGATGGCGATGACGACGATGACGATGACGATGATGATGTTGTGATGCTACTGATAATGATGATGCTGATGATGCTTGTGCTGACGACGATGATTATGATGATGGTGAGGATGCTGGTGTTTCGCTGATGATGCTGCTGGTGCTGATGCTGTTGACGATGCTGATTGTGATGATCATAATGATGACTGCTCATGATGATGCTGATGATGATGGTGTTGATGATGATGAAGATGATGATGTTGATGATGATGATGATGATGATGATGATGATGATGATGATGCTGATGCTGATGCTGATGCTGATGATGATGATGATGATGATGATGATGATGATGGTGATGTTGATGCTGCTGATGATGGTGATGGTGGTGGTTGTGATGGTGGTCGTTATGATGCTGCTGTCGTCGCTGATGCTGATGACGACGACGATGATGAGAGTGACAATGGTGAGGAGGAGGATGAGGATGAGGACGGTGATGGTGATGTGGGTGGTAGAGAGGGGATGGGGCGGGCCGAGGAGGAGGCGGAGGAGGAGGAAGAGGCAGGAGTAGGAGGAGGAGGGGGAGGAGGGGGAGGAAGAGGCGGATGGGGGGAGGCAGAGCTGGAGTGGTTTGGATGAGGATGGTGGTGGTTGTGATGGTGGTCGTTATGATGCTGCTGTTGATGGTGACGATGCTAATTATATTGGTGATGCGTAGGAGGAGGACGAGGATGTGGAGGAGGAGGAGGAGGAGGACGAGGATGTGGAGGAGTGTATGATGATGAGGAGGAGGATGAGGAGATGTAGCGGGAGAGGATGGAGGAGGGAGCAGGGCCCGCGGGGGTCGCTGGTCGCGCCAGGCAGCGGCAGGCTGCGCAGCCGCCGGTCGAGGCGCTGTCCCTGCGGGGGGGGGGCAGGGAAGAGTTCCTCCTCGCACCCCGGCGGGGAAGGGCAAAGGGAAGTCGGGAGCCCTGAGACGGGGGTCAGTGCAAGTGGGTCAGCCAGAGCGCCGGATCTTGCAGGATCTTGCAGGGCCAGGGGCGCACTGACCCAGGGTTGGCTGCAGGATCCTTCGCAGTGACCCGGGTTTGGGTGCAGGATCCTGCAGGATCCTTCGCAGTGGGTGCAGGATCTTGCAGGATCTTTCAGGATTCTGCAAGGCCTGACTGACCCAGGTCTGGATTAACCCGGGTCAGAAGATCCCCGAGGAAGGGGCTTCTTTCGACGTAATTGCGACATCGTTTGATCCCCTTTGCTTGTTTTATCTCCATTACGTCGGCGACGATCCAAAGGAGGCTGGCGTACGGCAGGTTCGCGTCGCGACCCCAGCGCGTGCGTTTCAGGTCCAACGCCGCCCGTGGTCCAGAATCGGCCCGTCGTTGAACGATCCGGCGTTCATGGAACGGCCGATCGTTCAAGTTTGAACGAACCCTTGTGGTGTCAGGAACCAACGCTGGGGTTGACACGACGCGAACCTCTTGCACTTCAGTTGGCGTCGGGCCGGTCCCGCGCCGACGGGCCACCTGCCTTCTTCCCTTCTCCCCTTCTTTCCTTCCCTTTCCTCCCCCCGTCTGCCTGTGCACGGAGTCGCGAGTCGGCTGTCGCTGTTTCCCGGTCCTCGCAGAGGGCCGGCGCGCCTCGCAGGACGCGCCCGTCGCCCAGCCACGGGCCGCTTCCGGGCGGTGAGGGCTCGCTTCGCTCCGCTTCGCGCCGACGAGCCTCTCGCCCACGCCAGCTGGGTCGGCTTCGGTTTCGAAGCATGGGGGCCTCGTGTGCTCTCGCAATCCCGTCTCTAGGGTGCGTTATCGTCGGCTCATGTCTAGTAGTCGATGATTTAGCGCCAATTCAATCTTGCAACGAGTGTCGTCGATTAGCGTCGATTCAGCGTCGACAAGCGTCGATTCGCAAGAGCCAACTGGATGGTACGGGAGGCTCCCATGAATTGCCACCGAAGATTCTCAGAATCTCTGGAAGCTCCAGTGCGAGTCCAGGGACAGCAGACGTCGTGAGGCCTCCCACGCATGCTTTGCGACGTTCCCCCAATCGACTCGTGGGGAACAAAATAATGCATCGAGCTAAGGCTCTGCGAGTGGATGCAATTTCAGACAGATCGAGGTAAATCCAGAGACATCCAGATACATCTGGAGAATCCGTGGAAGATCATGCGCGAATCCAGGGTTTACAAATCTTGGAGGCAGTTCTTTTCTAGATTCTGGCAAGTTTGCACTTGGTGGGAGGTGGTGGCGAGGGCCCACCTGGACATCACGCAAGTCAGCACTCACTGGCACGCCTTTTCGGGGTGGCGTGGCCTGGAAAGACGGCGGAGAAGGGGAGAACACGATGCAAGCATTTGGATCGCCGCTGAGGTTGCCAAGGAGATAGGTTGATAGCGGTGCAGAGATAGTCCAGAGAAAAACAGAAACCACTCCGCCTACCCTCGCGGAACGCCTGCGGAAGGTGGACAGGGAATGGGGAATGGGGGTCGCGCGGGCGGGGACACCGTCACGCGCAGGCACGCACGCACACCCGCTCACACACGCAGGACACGCACACGCGCACACACCTACACGCCGACCTGTCACAACGACAATGACGACGCCGACGACGACACCGACCCCCCCCCCACAACCACCACGGCACACGCACACGCGCCGCCACCGCCGCCGTGGCGCACACCACCACCCACACACATGCACGCTCACACACAGACACGAACACACACGCACACGCACACACACACACACGCGAGCACGCACACTTACACACACACACTTTTAAAAGCGTCAGAGGAGCCCCGTGGCACGAGTAAGGAAACGACACAAGACGCCGACATACAAACGACAGACGACACGACAAAAGACACAGGCGCGGGGGCAGGGGGGGAGGGGGGAAGGGGGAGGGCAGTCAGGCACACACACAGCACACACATACACCCACCCCACACCCACACAGACATACACATACACATACACATACACATACACATACACGTGCACATGCACATCAACATGCACGTACACACACATACACATGGATATCAACATCCACATCCACATCCACATCCACATTCACATCCACATACATACACACATAGGCATACACATACACACCTATCCATACACATACACATACACATGCACATGCACATCCACATCCACATACGCATACGCATACGCGCACTCGCACGCGCACGCGCACGCGCACGCGCACGCGCGCGCACGCGCACACGCACGCACACACTACGCCACACCACACCACACCACACCAGAACCGTCACCCTGCCCGCCCAAGCGACCCACCTGACCGACCCTGCCCGCCCGCCCTGCCCGCCAAGCTCGTGCGCACGCGCGCACGCTCGTGAGCGCTCGTGCGCGCACGGCCCCTCCCCGTCTTTGCGCCCCCTCCGCCCCCTGTGCGCAGTCGCTGGAGGCGGTCGCGGCGGCGGCTGCGACGGCCGCCGCCTCGGGGCTGGGCGGCGCGAGCGCCAGGCGCCTGCCGCCCGTGCCACCGTGGGGGGGGGAAGTCTGCTCTTTCTCCACTGGCGCCCCGCTCCCCCTTCGGGGTTTTCGTTTTGAATGGACAGTCCCCGCGTCCCTGTCCTCCTCCCCTCCTCCCCCTTTTCCTCCTCGTCCTCCTCCTTCTCCTCCTCCCCTCCTCCTCGTCCTCCTCCTGCTTCCTCCTCCCCCCTCCTTCCTCACTCCTCCTACTCGTCCTCCTCCTCGTCCTCCTCCTCCTCCTCCTCCCCCTCCTCCTCCTCCTCCTTTCTCCTCCGCCTCCTCCTCCTCCTCCTCTCCGCCTCCGCCTCCCCTCCTCCTCGTCCTCCTCCTCGTCCTCCTCCTCTCCTCCTTCTTCTCCTCCTCCTCCTCCTCCTCATACCTCCTCGCCTCCCCCTCCTCCCTCTCCTCCTCCTCCTCCTCCTCCTCCTCACCTCCTCCTCCTCCTTCTCCTCCTCCTCCTCCTCCTCCTCCTCCTCCTCCTCCTCCT